GTGCAGAAAATCCATAGAATAAAGCCATTTTTTAAAGTGGCTCGGGAACGATTTTTCTTTAAGGTGCTACTGCTAAGCAACTGAGCCCGCTCTTTACTCCCTGGCTTTATGAGACCTCCGTGAATGCTCTTTATTAGACTTTTATTGGCATTTTAGCATCTGGCCACACACACCACAGGATATAAATGGCCTCTAGTTTCTCTCATTTCTTGTGTACTGTGTTGGGCAAAATCCGAATTTGTCTCCTTTTCAATTATGAGTGATTTTTTTAATTAAACACGCCTCACAAGAAGTTTCCATGAATTTGAACGATAGAGAGAGGAATTTACACAATGCAATTTTAAGAAATTCAAAACATGATTTCCAATAAAACCAACAAATTTCCATTATTAATTTGAAAAAAAAAGAAGTGGTTTTTATCCCTTAACATGTAGAATAACATGTTTTACTCAATTACTAGACATACTTACAAATTAAATAAATTAAATATAAATATAGAATATTTATTATTCTCTCACTATGCCTCCCACTCACGTCATTACGCCGCCACACGCTCGCGTCATGATACTGTCGTGAACGCGCGTCCACAAGTTATGCAGTAGAGACGAAAATATGGAATAAAGTCGTTATTTTTGTTTTCTTTGTGCAAAAAAGTATTCTCATAGCTTCATAACTTTACAGTTGAACCACTGATGTCACACGGACTACTTTGTCGATCATCTTGGTACTTTTCTGGACCTTGACCGTGCTAGTTACCTTGCTGTCTATGGGAGGGTCAGAGAGCCCTCATATTCCATCAAAAATATCTTAAATCATGTTCCGAAGATGAACGAAGGTCTTATGGGTTTGGAACGACACGAGGGTGAGTAATTAATGACAGAATTTTCATTTTTGGGTGAACTATCCCTTTAATCTCTCAGTCTTTGTCTGTGTGTGCAGTGGGCCGTCGCGGAGAAAATCCCACATCGTGTGGTGCGAGCACTTTCAACACTAAACATCCTAAGACTCATGGGGCTCCTGGGCCCTGAGAGACAGAAACCCAAGCCTTTGAGATGAAACCACTCAGGGGTCGCAAGTTGCCAAGTCACTCTGGATGCGGGTGACAAAGAGCCCAGTGTGGAAACACTGCATTCTAGGAACATTCTGGACGTTTGTGGAAATAAGCTACAGTAGAACCGCGAGGAAGCTGCCAGTGGAGGAGGCTTCCATTGAAGGTGAGCGTACTGTAGCAGCACAACGTTTCTTGTAAAATGCCGTTGTTTCCACATGCTCTCACACTAATCGAATATCAATATACCATTTCACTAGCAAACATCCTCTCAGCGTTATCACTCAGCTGACAATGAATTGATATATCATACCATGCTTTTTCCTCCCCTAAATAAAATACATCATGGATATGACAGGCACCTCAAATGAGAGCAACAACATTCAGGAGGAAATCGAGTGGGTCTCACAAGCTCAATTAGCTCTCTGACTCCATGAATCCTTTCACTGTGGGGCTTCTTGTTAAAGTCAGCAGGGAGTTTCTTCTGACTTCTGACTGCACTCACATGCACCTTGTTACTTTCTGAGTAACTGTAAGGTGTATCGACTCTATCACACTAAGTGCTTTTCAGGCTGTTGTCCAGAAGTCTTGAGTGACATGCGCAGAGCGGCGAGAATATAATAAGAGTTGGTTTGGCTTTCTGACATCACAATGGCGTGGGCGCGAGCGCTCTCGTGCGTAAATGTGAAATGTGGAGATGTGTGGGTGTGTGGTTATGGTTTCTTTTTCCCAGCCAACATCCATTCCAGAGCAGTATCATAGCACTACAGGTGTTTTCAGTGAAAGAACTGTGAGGAATACAAGCTGAAGGTCTCTGTAAGGGGAATTTCCTCTTAAAGGCTACT